TAATCCGTCGGAAAATACTATTATTCCGACGGATTCTTTGATTTCGTCGGAAATTTTCGACGGAACAAAAATCCCTCGGAAATTTCGATTTTTCCGTTTCAGACGGAACAAAAGAATCCGTCGGAAATTTCGATTTTTCCAACGGAAAAACGTATCCGTCAGAACTTATCCGTAAAAAATCGGCTTATTTTTAGTAGTGAACAACGGTTAAACTCGTTAATCCAATAAAGCTAAATATAGATTAGTTGCATACACTATGTATACCTATACCTTTGAACTGATGTGGGTTAACTTTAAAACCTTTTGAATGAAAAATTGTGCATTTGAATATCGAGTACTCCACATATTTTGTGAAAGCTCAATTATTGCTACTACAAAACCTCTATATCTTAGAAGATGGTTTTCTCTAGATCTCTCTTCTTTCTCCTATATAGAACCAGTCACATGTCATTAACACAGTACGGAGTATGTCAGCACAAGAGAAATACTCAACCTCTAATTACTTGTCTTCTATTTCTCTAATAACCCAGTGGTAATTAACCTTATATTTAGATGACATCCTGTTAATAGCAATAATGAATTTTATTGATACTAACAAAACTCATATCCTAATTTTACATTTGTTAGTATCAATGAAGACATTAGAAGTACTTTGATAACGTGGTGGTAATATCTAAGCACATTTTAAAACTAACGGACATTATTAGTCATAGAAGACTCAAGCTATTAGTAGCCAAGAATTTCTCGTCAACACACTGTGCACCCACACGCACTAACTTGCATGTCTTTAGAGCATCTACATTGGTTGGAAATTTAGCTCCCCATTTGACAAAAAGTAAAAGTGGGGACCTTCCTACCAATGGTCCAAGCTCCCCATCCATCACTTTAATGTGGGGAGGTTAATTTGATGGGAACCCTCCTAAAAATTCAGGTGGGCCCAACTTACACACTTGAACACCAAAACACTTGATAGGGTATGGAAAGTAGGAGAGAGAAAATGTGGTGAGGTATTGAAAAATAGGAGAGGGAAAGTAAATGGGGAGATTAATGAATGTAGGTATGGAATTGTAAAATGGGAAGGGTATGTGATAAAATTAGTGGAAAGTGATGTGAACTAATGAGGTGAGGAGAGAGAAATTATGGGGAGTCTCGTGAATGTTGATGGTCTTAGTATTTAATCTGAACACGATAGGCCAATAAATTTGGGGAAAAAACATTTAAGTATTTGAATATGACGGCAAAGATAGAAAAATTATCAAAGAGTATTCCTTAATGGTTATTTAATGTTATCAGCAAAGTTGAAATTTATTAATATTATCTAATTACGGAAATTATAAATTGTTCTTTTCTCATCTAACCACATAATTTAGGACATATGGTCTATTCGTGAGTCACGTAATATGAGTTGACAGAGTTTCACAAGGGTTTGCAATTGTGGCTCTTCCCTATTAATTACTCCATATTGTTATTTTATACGAAGTAATAGACTTTTGTTGCATATTTATGTCGATATTTTATCTTCTAATTTATATTTAATTAAAAAATAGACAAGAAGCTAAGATAATTAGATGAGAAATGAACGAATACATTTGTTTTGATTTTCTTAAACACAAATTCTTATATGTGGTTGGTCACGCCATGTGGTAATCTATCTTACTTTGTTGGTCAGTGTTTAGGGATTACTTCATTAGTGTTATAGGGTTTCCTTCGTCAGTGTTATAGGGATTAATTGATCGTCAGTATTTTAGGAATTACTTTGTTTTTTTATAAGCGATCACATAATGTAACCAGCTGCACATAAGCTAGACGCGTTGTTTTTTAAATTAACAAGAAAAGAAACAAAGTCTATTTCTAACATGCAATACAAATTTTGTAGTTTCAAATTAGAAATTAGTGCTTGTAGTAATATACGAAGTATAACAATTCCTTACAATACAAGCAACATAGATATAAATATATAATATGACTTATACGAGTAATAGTATTTGAACAGTTGATTAACCATAAATCTTTATAAAAGTATTTTGAATTTTACCTCTCGTGCATATAATTTAAAACAAGTGTCTTGGAATGAGTCACTGTCATCATGTCCCATAAATATCACTAATGCGTAATGACAAATTAATTGCTAAATTAGTTTGCTTTGTAACGTAAGATTTCAAGCTACTTTCTTTTCTAGCTAATTTGTATCTTAATGATTAGCCGACTAACTTAATACTTTGGAATAAGTTTTACTTGTTAATCAATTATTTGTCAGGCAAATTAAACTTGTTAGCTTTGCTAATTTTTCATTTCAACTCTAAAGATCAACCCTATTAAATTAAACATCTAAATTTGTACCTAGAATATGAAGCGCCAATCTTTGATAGGAGTTCTGTATTGTGTTAGATATAGAACGCCTCCAAATGTCGCTATGTAGACTTTACAAGGCACCCTAGAAGGGCGCCTTGATTGGAGGCAATCTATATTATTTGTTTATATATACATATACAAAGTAGTGTACAGAGTACATAAAACTTTAGTTTTGTTATGCATAATCCATACTTAAATTACTCTGTACACTACTTAATTAATTTGAAAATAAATGACAAAATCAAGTAAGTCTACAAGTATAATTAGTACTCCATATTTAATTTTATTTATAATTTCACTATTATCTATTTTATCTTTATATGTAGATAGTCCTTATGGTTTTGTATTTTATTTTCTCGCCGGGGGTAAATGATCTGTTATAGGTAAAGAATGTGTTCCATTTATATGCAAGAGTGGTGAGGATCTTTGTCACATATTAATTCGTCATCATAACTTAAAAGCAACTTATTATTACAGTTCAAGATGGTGATCTTCATTCTAGCAATATAATTCCCTGACTATCCTGTTTTTCATATTGCTTATGGGCCACGATCGAATATAATGATCCTTCTATATCCTCAGAATAAGAATAAAATCATCCTTCATTCTAGAGTGTGTTGTATTATCATATTGGTAGGTTTTATTCACGATGAAAAGCTAGGTAGAAAAACGTTATTTATTTATTTTTTTTTTGGTTTTTTTTTTCCTTTCACGTTGAATAATTTTAAATAATTTTTTTTTTATAAACAATTATATTTAACTCTTAGATAATTAGATAAACGTATTATTTATACTTTTTTGATCAATTACAGTATCACACTAGTACACGGAACAATGCAACATTAAAATATACCTCCATCTTACATGTTATTAATTATATCTAAAAGTCGAAAGAAAATTCCTAACCTAATAAACACCCCCTTAGTAGCACTATTACCACTTTATATGTTACTCCCTCCATTTCTATAATTAATCTTGTTTAAAATAATCCGATTACAAGGATAAACTATGACTCTATGATCATATTGTTGTTGTTATGAACTAATAATGTTGATACTTGTTCTCAAAAAAAAAATATCTACTGATACTTAGTATTTAAAAACACAAACCACTCATGCCACATATCACCTTCTTTCATTTTTATTCTTTATTCCCTTTCTAACATACCAAAAAAAAAAAAAAAAAAAAAAAAAAAAAAAAAAAAAAACCTAGCCTTATAACAATTTTTCAATCATTTCTTCAATTGTTGTTAAAAAAAATATATATCTACATACTAATGGATTTGTATTATTTCTCAAATTTCTTCAATTTTTTTGTTAAAAAAAAATCATATTCTTTCTATATTCATACTCATTGCAAGTGTTTAATATTTTTTTTTGAAATAATTTCATTATTTACAAATTGTCTTATAACAATATTCAATTTTTATATTTATAGACAAATATACGAAGTAGAGAGCTAGATCAATTTTAATAAGAAGCTTATTTAAAATTAATCTACCGGATCACGTGAGATCATGAAGAATAATATCATTGCAACTTTGAAAACTTTGACCGTTAATTTCCGTTATTTTACAAAAGTTAATATAGTCATGTGAGATCTTGTTTGAGTTGTCTCATTATATATTTTATTAATATCAACATTTTATAATTTTTACGCGTATGAAAATAAAGATATAAGCGTTTTAACACGTGCATTGAAAATTGTGAAAAGTCAAATGAGGCAAAAATTTAGAGATAGAGGGAGTAGTTATTTTGATTAATAAGTGAGTGCATAATCAAATCAAAATATCAATATTAATGATTAAACATCACATCAACATTTACTTTAATTAGTTGCTGACCAAGCCACCCACTTATTCAAGTTGGTCTAGCTCTATCGAATCTGATGCATTGGATGATTTGGATCTCTTTTTTTTGTTTTTTTGAAACAATTGGTATTGTCAGACTTCCAATCTGATTGGAAAAGTTTTATGGGAAGAAAGGTCCATTTCAGAACCTCACATCCTCAATTAACAAACCATTAAAACTTCTAAAAAATAATTCAAACCTAAAGTGCTAATGGTCAATTTGGCAAAGAAATTAAATGAAAGTAATGATATCATGTGCATGTTTCACCAAAATATCTTACGTTAACGCTTTGGTTATACAGTACATGTCATCTAAAAACGTTCTCTACTTTTTTTCCTTTTTTTTTTTTTGGGTTGTGTAAAGAGCCGAAAAAACAGCATTAGATAGAATTCGATTTTATATCTTAAATACCATCGAAGAAATTAACCAATAACATTAGTTGACATTCATAATTTAAAAGTGGTCAAAATTCAACTTTCAAGACTGGTTAAACAAATGAGAATAATCTTGTGAGACAAAGAGTTCCAAAAATTGTGGTGAAAACAAGTTAGGTAGCCAAACAAGGTTTTCAAGCATCATTTGACTAATTTAGATCTTGAGCTAGAGCTCGACCTTAAGTCAAGTTATGACCGAGTGAAGCTTGAGTAGCTCAAGAATAGGCTAAACTATTAGCCTATTATTAGCCCTACTCAAAGTTCTAGGCCGTGACTCTCCGTCAACCTGCTAAATGCATAGAAGCATGGAACAACCCGCTTACATCATACATGGAGTCCACGTACTATGGAATTTTAGCAGAATCAGCACAACAAGAGTGACGCAATTTCATACCATCAAATCAAAAAACGCCATTATGAATGTCTTACATTACATTCCAAATATTCCTGATCAGCACTTACTAAGCTAATGCATGCTTACATTACAATACCATTATATAGCATGGACGGCAACTTAAAGTTACCTAAACAGCAATTGTTCTCTGGAATCTTTACAGATTAAAGATTCAAGAATCAGATCCAACTACTTCGGAGCCCCATGCAGTTTTAGCTGCAAAATTACGATTTGAGCGAGCATTTAGTGGTACATCCCATCAGGTCCTAAGCAGTATGAACATGACTGTATTGTGCAAAGAACCGTTGAGTGCAACTTCTTCACCTGGTTGTATGATAGAATTTGCGATGATTAAAGAGGGAATTATATCTTGTCCGTAGCTGATTAGGGACAGAACAAAGATCTCCGTCTGCAAAACCATCACTGTAGGTGTGAACATGTTATTGCAGTGTAACATTATAGTGCAACGTGTACACGTAATACTTTCTCATTCGAAAATGAGTGAATCAAAATTATAATGGCTAGATACTCGATTCAGAAAAAGGAATAAAAACAAATACAAATTGAGCATAAATCTTTAATGAGGCCTTGCCAAACACGACTCTTTGTTTTAAGAGAACATGGAATCTGAGAGGCATAATGATATGAGCATATTCCTAATTGATAAGAGCACATCATAGACACCAGCAACGCAATATTATTCTAATCCCTACAGAAAAATCTAATACCTTGATCCAAAATTGCTACTCTAATTTCTTAACATTTCTTAGGCATATAATATAATATGCTAATCATCTTCATTAGTACATAATTCAGAAAAGCAGTCATGACGTTTGATTATGCCGTAATAGAAAGCTAAAGTGGCAATCATATTGACGAAGTGTTATTAAAAAAATTGTAGCATCATCTAATGAGGAATGGACAATAATATAAGAGCATTATTGTTAATTCTCAATGCATGCTGAATCATTAGCATAAAGAAGGATTAAAAGATTCATTAGCCAACGACTATACTGCGTAACCTGTCCTGTTCTATGCATTTCATTAGATCAAGGCAAAAGTAATTGATAATTAATATATTCTTTACTAATTATGCCATGATCCGTACATTATCATCCAACAAGTTTTGTACGTTAAGCAACCAATGATATGTCATGAAATATGCTTATTATTCCGCTAAACATGATAAATTCATGCATCAAGTCTGCTACATTTTAAAATCAAAGATTGAACCATATAAACATAGTAGTACCTAGCATGAACCATGTGCTAATGAAATTGTGTCTGGTAATTCAATCAGAATCTGCAATCTTCTTAGATTCTCAAAACACTACCAGACAAAAAGAACCAGCTACCTCCGCTTTATTTCTCAATCTTGGCAAAATGTTCATCCCAGTTCTTTCATATTGGTGATTTAGGCCAGAAACCATTGAATTACTTCCAGAATTTACCAATTTCTAATTTTCTGCCAATTATTTATCCTTTTTTTATTTTTGGATAATCGTAATGAATAATCTTAAGTATTATTTCCATGTAATATAAAAACCAAACCAAACATATAACTAATTAATTACTTAAAAAAAAACCAATTAGAACAAGTCATATTTTGTATAACCTTTCAAGTCAATCCAGATTGGATAAACTTGAGTTGGATTTGGGTCAAATTTGAGTTTATCATTACAGATCTATAGGTACAATACAACACGGGTCTTGTCTGGATTTTTCAATCAAATTCTGTACATGTCAACTTTGCCAGCTTCCTCCACCCTTTAATATATAAATTAAAGAGTTCAATGAGTACCATGTAAATATACGGAGTACTTGGTGATAAAATAAAGTATTTTATGTTATCAATGCGTGGAGGTGAAGTGGCTTAAAATGAGACATTGCGAGTTTGGGACACAAGACATAACATGAGATAATAAAAGGGATATATATATTTTTTTTTTTTTTTGGAAAGATAAGGAAAAGGCTCTATTGGGCAAGGGAAAGAGGATCTTGATTGACAAATTACCCTTCCTAATTCTCATTTAACAAAAGCCTCTCCATCTTAGTAATTATACGAAATGCCATGAAGATATGACATTCTTCATTCTTCACATATCAAATTGAAAATTAAACCAGTAATCACTTCAAATAGCAATGACAAAGGCAATAATATTATCAACAAAAGCAGAAGCAATCGCGCTGGAAAACAGACGCAAAGGTTGGACATAGGCACAAACTAAAAATCAATACCTCAAAGCTTAATGGATGCTTCATCAGCATATTTAACAAAAAAATCACCACCACCAACGTCAACACTGGATGCTGATTTCTGATGTGGGGAAGGGTGTAAGAAGAACAGTGTCCATAATATAATAATACACACTCTATCACATGAAATTTACAGAAAATTAAGGAATTAAATCAAGCATAAAGCTACTATACATCTAGGGGCATGTTTAGCAAACAATTGTTTAGAATTACCAATGAGTAAAAATCTTGGAGTTGATCAAAACAGGTGTTCATTCCAGCATTGGTTGTTCAGACACTGCCAAGTAATATCGCGCCGCGAATTATTTTGTTCCATAGACAAATCATAAATTAAAACTTTAGTCAGCGTCCATAAAAAAACTGGTGGGGTCAAATAAGCCATCAATCAAAAGCAACCACAAGTAAACACTAATAAAAACAAATCCTTACCAAGGGTTAGTGGTCTCGAGTCAGCAAGCAAGAAAACATCATAGCACATAGGCTGGAAATGCCACATGACTCATTCATATGCCAAGACAGCATGTCACCAATTTGGGATTCAGAGTAACATTCCACCACCTGAGGAAAGAATGTTTTGCCATTCGAAAACTGTCTTATGGCACTATATACCCCGCAAATAATACATCACAGAATTTTTCATCTGCAAGAAGAGTTTCTGGAACATCATCCTTTTGCAAACTTTTCTTCTCCTTACGGTAAAATTTGGCCTCATTGAATCTTCCGCATAACTCAAGCCCTCTAATCAGCACATTGTAGGTTGCTGTTGCACCCTGAATTCCACTACATTTCATGGTCTTAAATGTGGCAATACCTTTATCAGGATCTTCAGCTGAGAAACAGGCACTGATTAAAGCAGTGTACAATGTAGTGGTCTTAATCTCCTCAGGAAATAATTTGAATATTTTCACAGCAATGTCAAGTTCTCTGGCTTGACCAAGCCTATATATTAATGAGAAAGCTAATTGTGGTTCAGGAAACAAATTATACTTGACCATTTGCTCAACTATTGGCAAAATCTTTAAAAAATCTTTCTTTCTAATCAGAACCCCCAGTATTGAAAGGAATGCTTCATTTTCAATGTAAATGCCCATATCATTGCAGTTGTCCAAGACCAAAATAGCTGCTTCAATCCTCCCATGAGTACAATTTGCCTCAATGATTTTAGAGACAAGGTCAGGGGCTAACCGCTTATGCCGGTGCACTATTCCAGCATATAGGCGATCAATGGCAGCAAAATTTTTCTTTCTTAAAAATTCAATCAGAAGCCCCCTGTCTATGCTATAATTCATATCACATGTAGTTTCTTCCTCTCTCATGAACTCAATGTTATCAGAAGCATCAGAAGATATATGAGGATTAACTTGTCGAAGAAGCAAATCAGTCTCATTAGCCATCTTTAGAGTTTCCTTTGCTTGAAGATAGACAGGGTAACGAAGAACAAGTAAATTTTCCTTCATGTACAGCAGAATTTGGATAATTGCCCATGCTTCTCCTGCTTTGCTACATTGCTCTACCAAAATATTGCATGTAGCTTTGTCAGGTTGTACCCCAGTCTCTTGCATTTTCCGAAAAACTTCAAGAGCTGATTTGCATTTTCCTGTATGAAGTTGAAGAATGGTTGATTGGTTTGGTAGGATGTAATTTGCTATATCAACAGGCAGAGGGTTGCACCAGTGAACACACAGAGATCAAATTTTGGCATTAATTGAAATGTAAAGCTCTAAAAACTAGAACCTTGAAATCATGATAGATTCAAAAAATCTATGTCTAAAAACAAAGAGTAAAAATCAAAGCTCTTTAATGAAATATACAATAAAAGGATGCAATTCAATACCAAATAGCTAAGCAATGAAACATGAGAGTACTATCAGAATTCAGAATTGATACTGATTGTTTCACAAGCCAATACTTAAGAATTTAAGATAGATGACTTAGGTAACAGTGTCTACGTGAAAAAGTGGTGAAGCAATTAGGATCCCCTTGTAATATCCGTAACAGCACCAAGTTCCACATAGAAATTAAAATTTTCAAGATTCTACAAATCATCATTTATTTCTATAGATTCCAACTATAAGAGCATCTTAATAGCTTTCATGGAAATCAATCAGAAAGTTCAGAATGAAAAGTGGAAATCATCACCGAACAAATCAAAACAATGGCCTTAAAAAACAACTAGCTGAAAAACATGTTTACTATTAGAACAAGTTAGCTATTCACTGATTCTCCAGGAATTAAATAAAAACCACAAACACTTGCAACTTTGCAAGATGGCTGATGTAGACGATAAATAGAAGAGAAGCATATGAACTACCTCACAAACAGAAACTTAAGGGTCTGGCCTGGATTTTCATAATGCCTTGATGTTTAAGCTGTATAAACATCCAAGCTAAACAAACAAATTTGACCGGCTTACTACCAGCATACTCGCAGTCTACCAAAATCAAGTTCAAACTTTTGATTTAGGAGTGTCCCCCCCCCCCCCCCCCCCAAAAAAAAAAAAAAAAAAAAAAAAAAAAATTCTTCACACTAAATTTTCCCCATTAAGTTTTATTAAGAATTTTGCAATATCTGCAACTATAAATGTGAAGCACTCCATCAATTTTCCCAACTGGATAATCTTTTAGTTTTTAATATAGGCTTTCAGCTAGGTCAATATGTAATTCTAAATGCATTACTTAAAATACATATCCATTAATACTACCCTAGAGTCCTAGAATTTCAAATATGTTTTCACTACATCATTCAATTAATACTCATGGTAAGAGTGTGTACATTTTATTCTCCTCAAATTAGTTTTCCCTTTTTTCAGGAATAATTAGGATATCTTAGTATGAAAAATAAAGTATTCCTTCAAAAAAAAAAAAAAAATGAAGAATAATAAGTTATTAATCTACCTTCAATACCACAGGGCTTTAGAACCATTAGTATCATTAAGGTGGCAGAGATCAATCAATCAATCAATCAATCAAAGCCTTAATCCCGTAAGTGGGTCGGCCACATGAACCAAAAGTGATTATTCCGTGTAGTCATCGACAAAATTCTTCCTCCTACATCCCTTACGATCAAATGCCTCATTCTCATGCAAATCCATATATTTCATATCCTTCCTAACTCCTTCCAACCAAGTCATTTTTGGTCTTCCTAACTCCGCCAGTGGGTTTTCCGCTGCTAGTCCCAAGACTGGATAAAGGAGGAGGGTTTCAGTAGGCCAGTGACAGCGAGTGTAAAACTGTGTCACATCCCATGACATGAGCCAAAATGATTTTAAGGTGGCAGAGAGTCCTTGGGAAATTAGCACTCCAAGTATTAGTTGAAAATGAAGAGAACTTGCTTCAAAAAAACCAAAGAGAGAGAGAGAGAGGAGAGAAGAAGCAAGTGAACAACAAGAGGCTCTAGACCACATATATTGTCAGAAGATCTAAGCAGCAACAGACATTATAATAAACAAAAAAGTAAAAAAAAACACAATTCTCACCAGAATGAATAAGATGCTGCATTAAGATTGTATAGGTGTGGCAGGTAGGTTTAAGTCCTGATAGAAGCATTTCCTTGTATATGTCAGTGGCTTCCTCAGCTCTGTTATTATCAAATAAGACCTTCATATATGCTGTATAAGAAACAACAGTTGGATGACAATACTCAGCTTTCATATCCTTCCATACCTTCACGGCTCCATCAAAGTCACCACTATTTGAAAGCCAATGGAGCATTGAAGTATAAGTGATGGCATCAATCTTTATCCCTTTCTCCTGCATAAGCTGAAAGACATACATCATTGAACTTATCCTTCGTGCCTCTCCAAATATATCCAGCATTGTCGTGTATGTAAATTTGTCATGTTTGAAACCCTTCTGTTTTGAAATCCAATTGAAGAACAACCAAGCCTTCTCCATTGGTGGGTGGGATTTTAGAACTTGATTGACAGTGAACGAGTCCCATTTGATACGAAGCCCCTGTAGCTGTTCTTGGGCAGAAATCCATGAGGTACACCTCAGAATATTTGAAATCTGTCTAATAACATCACTCATGTATACCTTTCGATCTACATTTTTCTTATTGACTTGCTTCTCTGTTCTGATCACCTTTCTGTGAGGTGGCTGGGAGGGGCCTTTATATTTACATGAAGAAAGGGAATGTACATAACAGGTAGCATTTTTCCAACTCCAAAAATGCCAATCACTGTAAGTAGGCCGACAAGCCTTGAACTTCCGGAGAACTCCTCCAAAGGCATAGGGCAAGGACATCAGTGACCATCAACTTTACCAAAACAAGGTTTCATTTCCATTACGGTGCTAAACAAAACTAAGCTTCATATTAATTCTGCACAAAAGAAAAGTACAATGAAAGTATGTCCAGAACAAAGGGAAGAAAGAAGAGTTATGCCATAGGGAAGGGGGCTGTATCCAAACCTTGCAAATAAGAAAGCACTCTTCATCTTCACAGAGCAAAATAATAAAGAACTTCAGCAGAAACCAATTGACTAATGTGTATTTGCTAGTGTTGTCAGTTATGAATTCATAGTCTTGTTGGAAACTAAAAGAAAAAATTGCGGAAATATCCAACACAGAGATCGGGACAATTAGCAACGCTGAACAAGCACATAGTGGTTTGTTTGTCCATTTCTTTGAGATCAGACAGGCTACAGAGGAAGGCAGAATAAGTTATAAGCTAAAAGTTCCTCACATTGGCCCATAAATCCCATTATGTCCACTTGACTTAATTTGACCAAATCCATAACAACCCACGCAAGTCAAGCCCAATGCCATTAATTCCCACACAGGTAACCGAACAAGTCAAGAGAAGAGCTTAAACAAATTAATTCTTCAAGTTGCAGTTTTCCATTTATAATAATGGGCATCAACTGGGTATAAGTTCCAGCCATTCAACGATGTTCAATTTTCATAATTCCCTTTGTACTCCAAAATTATACAGACCAACATGCCCATTAATTTGATCCACAAAAGCCAAATCAAATTAAATAATTCACAAGAAAAAAAATAAACTAAACAAAGCAGATGCACAATCAAGCTTAGAGAGGAAGAGAAAAAGAAAAGAGTAATTAATCATCTAGCGTCATACTTCATAATAATTACACTCCACATCATTCGAATAAAATAAAAACAATAAAAGCTACATTCGAAATTTATAACTCATTATCACCAGTGGACACCTCTCCTGATACATAAAAAAAAAAATTAAAAAAAAAAAAGAAAAAAATTTTTTTTAAAAAAAATAAAAAAAAAACATAGATCAACCAAGTACAAGTAAATTAATCAAATACATGACAGAAATCTCAATATCAGAGTTATTCGGCGATAGCAATCAACAACATTATAATTCTTTCAACTTATGTGATCCCTCTATTTCTTCGGCTCAATAATTTCATACTTCCTCCTCCATTTTTACTTACATAAGGAAGAGACTATTTTTTGTTAGCTAAGATCATTAAAATCTATAAATTAATCCAAACAACAAAGCTCCTTTTTTTTTAAATGAAAAAAATTTTATTTCAAAAAGAGCTTTCTTTATATCTTCATCCTCAATCAGACCTTCAATGCAGCTCTCCTCTCTCCAACACAAATCTACTCCAATCTATATCCTTCCTCCATCAAAAACCAAAATTTTGTTGCACAATTAGAATATCAAGCCTTAAAGGCCTTTAACACGTCAAGAGATCTCCATCAAGATTATGGCAAGAGGGGTTGGGTTGAGATTAGAAATAGCTTAAGCCTTAAGCACATATCAATGCTGGATAGAATTTCCCAATGAATTGCAATCCTCTTGCTAAGAAAAAAAATGATGGCCCTTTCTCTCCTCTCACCATGAACAGGATGTTATTGTGCTCTCGCTCTCATATTGAGTGGCATTTACAAGATTTCGGAAAAGGAGATGTGGATACAGTGGTCAAACAGATTCATCACATGACAGAAAACTTAATACCATAAGGTCATTTAGCTTAATATATAGTTAAAATATGAAAAAACATTTAAATTCTAGGAACTGGAACATAATACTTCCAATCAACCATTGCAATTATATTTCTTAAACTTATCATGCTTTTATACATACATGTCTATAAAGTTAAATAATCTTTTAAACACACATTCTTCCAACACCTACATTCTCAGTTTCATCACTACATGCTCCATTCTCGACAAAATTCGCTACAGCCAACATTGATATTTATCTAAAAAGGGAAGATAATTTGCTACAACTCCTACATAAAAGAACAACCACACCCTTAAGAAAACACCATTATCTCAACTTATAGCCTGATTTCCTAACAATTTCACCACCATTCGAGCTCCGGCTGATTTCCATCCAACCTCATTCTCCTTCAAAATGGTTGCTTAAATCATGAAAGGCTTTCTTAATATGTTCATCAAAAGTGACTAAATAAACTTTATTTTCTTCAAATTCCATTTTCGTAGTTTTGCACTAATAGTAAAGGTTGTATAAACAATAGGCTGCAACACATTGGCAACCAAATACGAAGTATGACTTAATTATCAAAGTAGGCTCGTTGAATTGTTTGAGTATTCATAACCAAAAGTTCAACATTCCGAACCCTAAATTGACTATAATGACAATTAAATTAACGAAAGTGTGGAACTAAACCCTAGATTGTGAAATTGATATCCGATGTTACTAAAAAAAAAAAAATACTTACCTCAGAATCAGCTTCAATGGAGAAGAGAAACGGAGGTTTCTTCAGAGTAAGCTTCCAATGGAGGATAAAAAAGGAGGCAAAAAGAAACGGAACAGGGTAAAATAATTTGGTTTGATTTTTATTTGGAAAACTAGTTACAACCTACTACTTGAAATTTTGGAGCTAAAAGCTAAGCCTAATACCCGCCTCTTGCTAATTGACGCCACCGAACTTGGAATTCCACCGATTGTCCCTCTCGTCGTCATTAACATTCTCTCTCGCTCTCTATCTTTACCTTATTACGGAAAACCCACTAACTGGGGTACTCGATCAAGGAGAATAAGTGGGGCGGCCTCCTCATAACCGGTATTAAACCGAGGCGCCTAGGTTTATAACAGAGATAAACTTGGGTTGTTTATCACTTTATTTGATGTCACTATTGTAATATACATGCTTTGATTTCCACGCTGACCCATTAAAAAATATATATATTATTTTCTACCCTATTAATGGTCAAATCGTGTCAACTATTTTGAAATGGATGGTGTGAGTCTATGCAAGGGAGGAGTTAATCCATATGTTTCTAAATATTGTCCCATACTCCCAAATCCTTTGCTTCATGTTGAACAAAAGTTTTTGCATGCATCGAGTGTACAGTAAATTTAATGTACATCCGTTATTGTATACCAAAACTTACCCATATTATTACAAAAGTTACCCTTTATCCCACAAAAATTACCCTTATTACCCAATTACTTTTATTATCACAGAATTATCCTTAAACTATCAAAAGTTACCCATATTACCCAGTTACTTTTTTTTTTTGAATAAATATTGATTCATAAATAAAAAGTCATACGACATCTACAAAGAGATTTAAATTTAATTAATACATGACAATTGAATCAAATAAAATCTTCCTTTCAGCGAAACTACGATCGTTGTAGCAAATCGTACATTCTTCATACCCTCTTTTATATCGCAGTGATTTACAACCTCTTTCGTCGAGGGGGTCTATCGATCTATTGTAATCGTGAAGGAAATTTTCATCTGATTCATCTAATTGTAATCGAAGGATTAACCTCTTTTTCAATCCCACACAAATCTTTACCCATGAAACAACTTGTATCATACTAAACTCAAAAAACAAAAACAAAAACAAAACTAGAACAAAACCCACCATAGGGGCACTTTCTACACTCAACCTCACTATAGGGGTACTTACTACTGTCAACGAGTGTAGATTTATTGAATTTAATAATAAAAACATAAAGAAACTAAAGGGAAAGGGTCGGAAATAGCCAAATTTCCGGAGAAATTATTTGACTATTTCCGGCCTATGAAACACATTTAAATTTTTTTAAGAACCTTATTACCCAGTTACTTTTATTCTTACAAAATTACCCATAAACTATAAATAGTTATCCATAAACTATTAAAAGTTACCCATAGTGTCACAAAATTTACCCATATTGCTTTTCTTTTTCTTCTTGCCAAACAGTATATTACTGCACACAGTGGCGGACTTGGGCTTAGACCTGGTGGGTCAAGTGACTCACCAGGCCCAAAAAAAAATTTTAAGTTATTTTTAAAAAAAAAAAAAAATAAAAAAAAAAAATCAGAGGAGACTTCAAGCCCTAGCCTCTTCGTGCTCTTCGTGACTTCGCCTTCTCCGCCATTCTTCTCTTCGTGACTTCGCCTTCTCCGCCATTCTTAATCGCCTCATCTCCATTCTTCTCTTCGTGACTTCGCCTAATCGCCTCATCTCCATTCTTCTCTTCGTGACTTCGCGTGACTTCGCCTCTTCGCTCATCTCCATTCTTCTCTTCATGACTTCGCCTCTTCGCTTCGTCCCAGCCAGGCAGCCACCGTTCTCTTCGCCTAATCGCCTGGTAGTCGGACGTCGGTGACTCGGTGGTCGTGACTCGTGGACTCCGTCCTCTTCGTGAAATCGCTACTCGAAACGTCGGTGCTAGTAAGTTGATTTCTAATTTTTATTTTTAATTTCTAATCTTCAAATTAATTCAGTCTAATTTGTTAATTTTATTAAACTTTGGTTTAAACTTTGGTTGATTTGTTAATTTGTAGTTGGCTGTGCTGCTGAATTGGCGAATTGATGTCTTGCTGAGTGCGTGCCTCGGTGCCTGAGACTTGAGTGCTGCCGACTGTCGTGCTGCGGTGCTGGTCGACTGCCCGTGGCCCTATTGTAGTGCTGCTCCGCCTGCTCCGCTGCTCGCCTCCGCCTAGCAAGGTAGGTAATCAACTAATCATCAATTGATTTTTTTTGTGAAATCTGTTTTGTGTAATTGTGTTTTGTGTAATTGAAATCTCTTGAACTTATTAGTTATTACTTATGTGAAATCTGTTTTGTGTAATTGTGTTTTGTGTAATTGTGTTTTGTGCAATTGTGTTTTGTGTAATTGAAATCTCTTGAACTTATTAGTTATTACTTATGTGAAATCTGTTTTGTGTAATTGTGTTTTGTGTAATATGTTTATGTGATTATGTCATTATGTGAAATTGCTTGATTTAGACCATTTAGTTGAATATTTATTCAAATAACTTTTCTGGGGAATATTGCTTGATTTAGTTCAATATTTATTCAAATTTCAGAATGAAGAGAAAACATACTCCAAATGAAATGCAAAACATTACTAGCTTCTTTGCTAAAAAGAATCCTACTCCAACTTCTCTTCCACATCCAACACAAAATGAACAAACTATAACTCCACCTCAATAAAGTGAGCAACTTTCATCTCCATCTCATTATTCAACTCAAAATTCCCCTCAAAATGAACAAGGCCAATGTTCTCCTAATGCCCCAATCTTTGGAGAAAGATTAAGTGAACATGAATTTGCTAATCTTCCACAAGATCCAGGAAAGAGGAGAAAAATGAGTCAATTTCATAAAGATGATAGAGATTTAGTGAGAAGAATTTACATTCAAAGAAAGCCTTGTCAGCCCAAAGACTTTACATTTCCTCAAACTTCTATTTTTGGCAAAAATCGTCGCTTTTGTGCTAAGTGGTTTGATACTTGGACTTGGCTTGAGTATAGTGTGGAAAAGGATGCTGCCTATTGTTTCCCTTGTTATCTATTCAAGGATGAAAATGCCTTTGGAGGTGATTCTTTTGTTAGTGATGGTTTCAAATCATGGAATCGATCGGATTTAATAAGAAAACATGTCGGTAAACACTTGAGTGCACATAATAATGTTGTTTTAGCTATGGATTTGTTCAAGAAACAAGATTCAAGCATCACACAAGCCTTAACAAAACAAACCGCTGAGAGTACAAATGCATATAGGACGCGACTTGAAGCTTCAATTGAATCTATCCAATGGCTTTTACTCCAAGGGTTGCCTTTCCGTGGTCATGATGAAAAAGAAAGTTCCTTAAGAAGAGGTAACTTTCTTTCACTTTTATCCCTTATTTCCAAAGGTAATCCTGAATATTCTAAAGTTGTTTTCAAAAATGCTCCTAGTAATTGTCAACTTACTTCTCCTAAAGTCCAAAAAGATATCATAAATGCATGTGCAAAAGAGACCACTAAAGCAATGCTTGAAGATATTGATGGTGGTTTATTTTCTATCCTTGCTGATGAGTCCGCTGATGTTTCTGACAAGGAACAATTGGCTCTTTGTTTGAGATATCTTAATAGAAAGGGAGAAGTGTGTGAGCGTTTACTTGGTATTGTGCATGTTGTAAACACTGCTTCTTTGACTCTCAAAACTGCTATTGAATCCTTATTAATGGAGCATTCTTTGTCTTTCTCTCAAGTACGGGGTCAGGGTTATGATGGGGCAAGTAATATGCAAGGTTCTATTAATGGCCTTAGGACTCTTATAGAGAATGAGTGTAAAGAAGCTTATTTTGTCCACTGCTTTGCTCACCAACTTCAATTAACTCAAGTTGCACTTGCTAAAAAGAATTCAGATTGTGCTTGGTTATTTGTTGATGTACTTGCACCTCTCTTGAATTTTGTGGGGGATTCACCAAAAAGGAAAGAGTTTCTTCGTGAAAATCAAGCTCAAAGAGTGGTGGATGCATTGTCTCTAGGTGAACTTGAAACGGGTTCAGGTTTAAATCAAGAACGTGGATTAGGTAGACCTTGTGATACTCGTTGGGGATCTCACTTCAAGACAATCTTGAATGTACTTGATTTATTCCCTGTAATCCTTGGTTCTCTTGAGGATATTGCAAAAGTATCTGATACAATAGATTCTAATAGAGCTCAAACACTTACAAATCTTCTGATGTCCTTTGATTTTGTGTTCGTGGCACACTTGATGGTTAGTATATTTGCGATAACAAATGCTTTGAATGTGGCCTTACAAAAGCACGATCAAGACATTGTGAATGCAATGGCCATGGTTAATGTAACCAAGACTAATTTGCAAAAAATGAGAGATGAAGGATGGGATTCTCATATGGAAAAGGTAATTTCTTTTATTGGTGACTATGACATTGCAGTTCCAGATATGGAGGCTAAATATGTTGTTCCCGGGAGGAGGTTGTTTAGAGGTAAATGCCCACAAGTGTCTAATCTACATCATTTTCGAGTTGAAGTTTTTTTTGGTGTCATTGATCTTCAATTGCAAGAACTTGAAAATCGATTTCCCGAAATAACTAAAGAACTACTTGTGTGTATGTCTTGTTTGAGTCCTGTGGATCGTTTTCTAAGTTTGATAAGGAAAAATTGATTAAGCTTGCAAAATTCTATCCTAATGAATTTCCAAGTTCAGAATTGATAGTCTTTGGTCATACACTTGATAGTTACATTTGTTCTGTTAGAGGAGATGAAAGGTTTTGGAATTTGAAGGGTCTTAGTGATCTTTCAATCAAATTGGTTGAAACGGGATTGTCTGAAACTCATGATAGGGTCTATTTACTTTTGAAGTTGGTGTTGCTTCTTCCTGTCGCAACGGCAAGTGTGGAAAGAGTATTTTCTGGCATGAAGCAAGTGAAAGACAAACTACGAAATAGCATGGGAGATCAAATGTTGAATGATTGTTTAATTACTTATTTGGAGAATGATTTGTTTTTTAATGTTAGCATGGAAGATATCATGAATCGATATCAAAACATGAAAACTCGTCGAGAACTATTTTAATAAGTTTGCATTACTATTTAGTTGTCTTTTGTAGTATTATATGAACATTTGGTTGTATTTTGTACTATTTGAATATTTGGATGTATTTTTTAGTACTATTATTTGGTTGTTTGGTAAATTTTTTTTTTTACATATTTGATTATCGATTGTGACTCACCAGTCGGAAGATCCTGGGTCCGCCACTGACTGCACATCGATTTTTTAAATATATTTGTCTTTCTAAAAACAAAACTAAATTTGTGCATACAGATGACCACATTGATGAGGAGAAAGATAACAAGAGCAAGTGGGAAATTTTACCAAATAAGGTATAGACCAATCTTTTAGAAACATCCACTTTAAATAAACCGAATCGCTAAACACCACGCTGCAAAATTGATCAAAATGCCGACATTTCATGTGAAGGGACCATTATGCCCTTACTCATTCCAATTCATTCTACCTAAATTTTCTCTCTTCTAATTCATCTCACCACCACCTGAGCCACCGTAGCAACCAAGACCATCACTGACCGTACCTCCAGTGACCATCAAGATTGAACCATTAAACCACCACCACCCTAAACCATAAAATAAAAACATTAACAATTATAACAATAATCAAATTAATAATTATTATTATGATAACAATCACATAAATAATAATAATTTAATAATAATGTTAAAAAAAAAAAAACCAAAAACTGACACCCAAAATCGGCATGCACCACGTCCCTTCCTTCACCGCCGCCCTGTACATTGCCGCCGACTCTTGAAATGGGAGTGGTGGTGGTGGTGGCCTAGTGGGGTGAGAAGGGTGGTAAGGGTTGGGTTATGAGAGAGATTGTGGTGAGAGAAGTGGTGGTGGTGGTTAGGTGATGTGAGAGAAGATGGATGTGGTTTGTAAGGGTATTGATGTTCATTCACTGATTTTGTTGGGGTTTTGATAAATTTTGTTGGCAATATTTAACAACCCTAAGGATGGAAAAAGATAGCTAGTAAGTTTGTTGAAATAATACTTGTACCAAGTAAAAAGTAAATGCAAATGAGGTTGTGAAACAATAAAGTCTCATGTCAAACTATAAAGTGTTGTAAATAATATTCATATTCCTATACAGTTACCAATTGGTTGTTGGTGCAGTGCAGTGGTGATTGAGCTGCTTTTGGTAGGGAGGATCACGTGTTTGATCCCCTGTAATAATAATTGGGAAGGGACTGAAACCTAACCACCTAGAACTGAGCTCGAGTCCGGATTAACTCAAAGGGTGAATCGAAGTGGAGCACCAAAAAAAAAATATTCCTGTACAGTTGAAAAAGACAAGTATTTTAATTACTTCTCTGTTTTTCTAACCGAATCACTATTCTAAATTGACACAAACATCACTTTTTATTTATTTATTTATTTTATTGTTTGTTTCATATTTTTCTCCTTATATGGTCCCTATTCTTATTTTATTTTTATTTTTTAAAAAAAATCCAACCTTTGCTATATTACATTCGATTAAATTAAAATTTAAATCTAACGAAAAAAATAGTTAATCAGTAATAACAATCCTTAAAAATTTGATTGAAATATATCATATTTATACATATATTGCAAATATATTGTCATGTATCATACATATACATGTTCCATGTATACGTCTATTGACCCATACATGTTTGCGTATCTTAAATTTATAAATCAAGATGTTTTCATGTGTTAAGTAATTTAATTGTTTTTTTCATCTTTTAATTGAAAAATATAACAACTATTTTTAGGAATGATGTGGGGACAATTGATCTAATTAACTTGAATATGGCTCCGCCTATGTGAACAAGGGTGATTAGGGTATTTTATCTGTAAACACAAACAAAAAAAGAATAAAGCATACCAAATAAGTAAAGTGTGAGAGTGAGGGATAGCTCAAGTGGTTAGACTTTCCCTCCCGGTTCCACGAGATTATGGGATCGATTCTCACCCTCGTCCTTGTGGCTCTCTAAACACCAACAAAATAAGTAAAGCGTGCAATTAATATGCAATTTTTTTTTGATTGGTAAGGAGAAGGGTTCTACCGGGTCGGAACCTCTCACAGGTCCTCCCGGGCCGAATTAGCGGGCTAGACACTTTAGAAGTGGGGGGGATGGGTATGGGAATCCCCACCCCAAAGTGCCTCTAGTGGGGTTTAATAAGTAAAGTGTAAGAGAAAAAAAAAAGTAAGGAGTATGATCTGTTATTTGCTAACAAACCCCAATTACTTAATACAGTACTATGTACTTTACTTTGTCAAACTCACCTTCTTCAATCTACATATAGGTTAAAGGAAAATTACACTTTGGTGTCCTAAGGTTCAAGTAAATTCCACTTTGGTGACCCATGATTTTAATATTCCCACTCTAAAGTCCTGTCATTAGATAATTATTCAAATTTAGTTATCAAGTACTAACCTCGTCACATTCTCCGTTAAACTAAAACCATACAATTATATTAATGTCTCTATTCCCTAAAAAAAAAAAAAAGGGTCTCTAAATTTGCCCTCAAAACCCATTTCCCTCATCTCTCTCAGAATTCCCTCTCATAATTCTCCTCTTTTTCATATGTCAAATTGTTTAACATGATCATATTATATGAGCTACAATGATGAGAGAAGAAGTTCCACTACTATTGGTTCATGTATATATGGGCATCTCTTTTTTATATGTCAAATTGTGATTATGTTTTTATGCTAATATGTGGCTTTACTGCTTTAGTTTAATAAAAAATAATGATATTTTTCAAAAAAAAAAAAAAAAAAAAAGAGAATGTAAGATGTAACAACGTTAACTATTAAGCACTAATATTGAACAATTATCTAATGGCAGGATTGACAGGATACTAAAGTGGGAATATTAAAACCATGGGTCACCAAAATAAAATTTATTTAAACCTTGGGACATCAAAGTGTAAATTTTCCTAGGTTAGGTTAATGCACTTAAAAAAATAAATGAAGTGAGTACTCCGTACTTAGTAGCAAACGGAGTATAACATAAGAAGTGAGTTTTTTTTACTCCCTTCGTTCTATTTTGTTTGTTACTTTTGCCATTTTGGGTGCCCCTAAATATTTGTCACATTTCATATTTTCATAATTATTAAGATACATAAAAAGACTTTTATACCTTCATTTTTTTTTGTCCTTATTAAGTCCTCTTCTTATTTTACCCTAACATTTGCCATAAAAATTACACCAACTTTTGACTAATTTAATGTTTTACACTCTTGAATCTATCAATTTCTCTTTCCCATGTACTTTAATTACTTTTTTAATTGGAAAAATCTCTTTCCCATGCACTTTTATTACTTTATTGGTTGAGTATTTCACTTTCCCATATACTTTAATTACTTCACATTCTCCACCTTAATTCCCGTAATTTTCCTTCAAAAGTGACAAACAAAAGGGGACGGAGAGAGTATTAAATTTGAGCGTTAAGAGTGTCGTTAGTTGAAACAAAGTGACACATAAGGTCATAAGGCACGTTAATAATTTATGAATTATGCATGAACATTATTTTCAAATTGTAACATGTGCCAACACTATGTTTGGTCGAACTGCTTGTCAACTGACTCCTCCTAACCAACAAAATTTATCAAGGGCTCAATGTGCCATAATTAGGCTCCATTTATGAATCTATGCAAAATTCATCTTCTTAGCCCATTTCAAGCACCAAATATGGGCTTGCACGGTTCGACCAATGCTCAACTTGAATTTGTACTCCGTAATTTCTTTCATCAATCAAATAAATAAAGACAAGCAACTAGCGTTCATCGATAAACTCCCAAATAGCGCGTTTATCGGGACAAGTGGGCAACGACTAATAACGATATTCAATTCAACGGTTCAACCCCTCCCACTCCGACGACTTTTCTCAATTTCCATCAAATATCCCAGAAAATACTCTTCACAATTACGGAGTACTCCATAATTTTCAATCATCAAGTAGTACAAAAACCCAAAAAAATTAAAAAAAAAGTGTCACAAATCTTGTACTTCATTTCCCCAAAATTTCAAATCTAATGGATGATTATTATATTTACTCAAAAATCATGTTCAGAACCCAAAACGACTGAGTTTTTGGGTCTCCAAAGAACTGTTTAGATCCCCTTTTCATATCGTTTCTTCATCACCATTACCATTTCCGTATCTGGGCACCATGAAGTAAGTTCAAATCTAATATCCTTTTAGTTTTTTTCATATTATTATGTAATCCCACTATTATATTGCTGTTACTTATTGAATCGTTTGCTTTTTTGGTCTAGACTAGATTTAGTTGTAGGTTACTCGTTGTTGCACGTACGGCAGTAGGGTTCTGATTAGACTGCTGGTATGGCAACTAAAAAAAACCCTTTTCATTTAATATTGTAGTTTATTGATCCGGCATTGAGAAAATCGTGATACAGTAAGCAGTGTTTTAGATTAGCCTTTCTGATAGATTATGTAGGGAAACAGTGTGATGCACATGATGATGTGTAAAAAAAAAAAAAAAAAGGAAGTAACTTTAAAGTACTGTATGTCAATATTAGATTAGTAGGCATCACTTAAACACTAGACATGTTAACAACATGAAGAATGAACACTGATTTCTGTCTGGAATTAATTGTTATGTATACTACATTAGAATGCGGGAAAAGTTGTCACATTTTTTACTTGTACAAAGTTAATGGCTCGTTGAATTTCATGGTTTACATGATTGGGAAATGGGTATGGATAGAAATGACACAAATTTGTCACATTTCTTACAAAGTTAATGGCTTGTTGAATTTCATGGTTTATATGATTGGGAAATGGAAATAGATAGAAATGACACAAATGTTATTAATGGTCTTTTTGTAATGCCATGTAGGAGTATATTCTAAATAAAGAGGGATTGGGAAAATGTGATAACGATTTCTAAATAGAGGGAGTACATATACACTAATGTTGGGAATTTGGGCTTATTGGAGTGACTGAATTGTGAGCTTGAGTTAGGCCTATTTTGGCTTGGTTCTGAGCCTTTCAACTGCTAAAATACAAGCTGCAGGCCTGCAGCAATATATTACCTCAATCTATAACATTCATGTTGCGAAATGATATACTAATGTTTGAGTTCCTTATATATATTTGATGAATATGAATCACATCACATGTGTCTTTTCCATGGAGCTAGAGTTTTAAGTCCCAATGCTGTAGTTGCTCTCATGCCATTTGAAATATGGGTTTGTTATGGGTTTGTGCCGCACCCATCAATAGGTAAGAGAGTCCACCTTCATAAGACTAAAGGAGGTTTCATCCCAAAACCATATGAAAATAAATTTAGCATCTCGTTAGCCTTATAAAGTGATTACTTTTTATAGGACTTAAGTCACAACACATTTTATTTAACAATTATAACCAAACCTTTATAAGGTGTTTAACTGCTTACAACTCTTTTGGGTCAAGCTGAGGTATGCTTTTAAAGTCTCTAGTTGAATTCGAGTTCATGCTCTCCTTCATCCTTACTTGAGTCAAGTTTTTGACTGGACTGAGTCAAACTTGAGCTCATGAAACAGCCCAAACAGGTTTGGCTTGTTATCCTGACTGAGCATGCTGCTGCTCTTGGCTTACTGGCTAGAGCAACTTTATAATAGAATCTTATCTTGGAACTGATAAGATTCATACCCTTATCTGAATGTCATCATTTGTTTTCGCTCTTGATTATAAGCTTGGCATCACAGCGGATTTAAATAAGTTATTAGACTTATCACGGTAAATTATATATGTTTGTTGCAGAAAATGTGCAGTACTATTTAGCATGATTTTCTGATGCTGCAAGAAACCTGCCATTGGCATCTATCCTATGTTTGTTGCTTACTCTGTAGTAAATTTCCTGTTTCCCATTTTCATTTTTGTAAAAATGGTCATTGAGTTCCTTTTGTAGCATGGTAATATGTAGCATTTTTTCATCCTTGCTGTGGCTGGTTCTTAGTTCTTCTACAGTTATGCAATAACACCTGGTGACATATATACCCTTGCCACTTCGTTGTCTTAAATATTTTTCTTCTTTTCTTGCTTTGACTTATGTAACATCCTGAAATTGGATTGTGTTTGCAGAGGAAGAAAGATCTTTGGGATATCTCTCTCCCTTATTCTCATCAATATGGCTGCTGTAATGGAAAAGGCTGATGAAAATTTACTCCCTTCTGTGTACACTGAAGTTAGTCAAGCTTTTAATGTTGGGCCTGCTGATCTGGGGTATCTGACATTTGTCAGAAACTTTGTGCGAGGATTGGCATCCCCTTTGGCTGGGATACTTGTCATCAACTATGACCGTCCAGCAATACTTGCAATGGGAACCCTCTTTTGGGCAGTATCAACTGCAGCTGTGGGTGTAAGCCAGCGATTTATGCAAGTTGCTTTCTGGAGGGCTGTCAATGGCTTTGGTCTAGCAATCGTGATACCAGCACTCCAATCGTTCATAGCAGACAGCTATTTAGAAGGTGTAAGAGGGACAGGTTTTGGGATGCTCAGCTTTGTTGGTAGTTTTGGTGGAATTGGAGGTGGTGTTGTGGCGACAGTCATGGCTGGTCACGAATTCTGGGGTGTACCTGGCTGGAGAGTCGCTTTTATCATGATGGCTAGTTTGAGTATGAAGATTGGCTTACTTGTTTTCCTGTTTGTTGAAGACCCGAGAAAGATTTCCTCTTCTGAAGCTTCTGATAGGTAACATTACTTTCTTGAATTTTTTTTCTTCTTTTTTTTTTTGTCTTTTTGTTTTTTTTTTTGTTTTTTTTTTTAAATTTTTTTTTTTTTTTTTAATCATTCCTGCCTTCCTAATCACCCGTATCACATCCATGTAAATTCAGGTCATTTCTGTTGCATTTCAGAGACTTTGTGCCTTAATGTGGCTTCTAGATTTGTTTTATTAAGTCTGAGGGTGGAGGGGGCATGACTGACAATATGTTTTCATTAATGTACTTTGAACTTGTAATTAACGAGGAGACATTCTACCGTAGTATTATGTTACCAGCACATTATCTCCTTAAACTTCCATGTCTGAGTTCTTTGAAGTTCATATCTGTTTTTTTGATGCAGGAATGCTTTGATTGGTAAATATGGTGGAAGTTCAAAATCCATTTGGAATGAGTCATTGATAGCAATGAAAGCTGTTATGAAGGTTCAAACATTTCGGGTTATTGTTTTGCAGGGCCTAATGGGTTCACTACCATGGACAGCCATGGTGTTTTTTACCATGTGGTTTGAATTGATTGGTGAGCATGTTTTAAGAACTCCATAATTTAATATTGTAATCTAATTACATGATGCATCCTTGATGAGATTAATGACATCTATCAACAATTTAATACAAAGGTATTGATAGAAATAATAGAATAATAGGAGGAAGTATATACGAAGTATTTTACATATTTCCTTCAATTACTTCATTATTCTATCTGTTTCACCTCCGTTTTTGCTTACTAAGTGGCTCTACAAATTTCTACTTCTATGGAAAATCAAGCGCTAGTTCTGATGAACATGCAGCTAACTAGGACTTTTATTTATATTTGTGCCTCCAGGGTTTGATCATAATTCTTCAGCAGGGCTCCTTAGTCTCTTTGCTTTTGGATCTGCAAGTGGCGCCGTCCTTGGTGGGATGATTGCTGACCGGATAACGTGTTTCTATCCTTATTCCGGCAGAATAATGTGTGCTCAATTCAGTGCATCCATGGGCATCCCATTCTCGTGGTTCCTCCTCACAGTGATTCCTCAGTCTGTGAACAGTTGGTATATTTATGCAACCACTCTATTCTTCATGGGCCTGATCATCAGCTGGAATGGAGCTGCTGCAAATGCACCCATGTTCTCTCAAGTGGTGCCTGCTAAGCACAGGACAATGATATACTCTTTTGATCGTGCATTTGAGGGCTCCTTCTCTTCCTTTGCTGCACCACTGGTTGGAATACTCTCGGAGAAGATATATGGGTACAATTCAAAATCTGTCCATCCTGGTGGAGGGTCGACTCAAGAGGCCTATGCGTTGTCCCGTGGACTTCTAACAATGATGGTTGTTCCATTTGGTTTATGCTGCTTGTTTTATACACCATTGTATTGTGTATTTAAGCAGGACCGTGAGAGGGCTAGGCTAGCTAGTTTAAGGGAGGAAGTTGCTCTTAGTTCAGCAGTTGACAAGGAGTGATCTATCTTTTCTCTGAAGAATTTGTTCTTAAGAGCTAGGTCATGCTAGTATTTTCGACTCAAGGATAATGCTCTTTTTGCTAGAATTACACCACACGAATTTGGAGGTGCCTGCAAATATCCACGAGATACCACTCTAGCTAGTAGCTACAAAATGTAAAATGCTCCTCTTGTACACTAATTCAATTGATTGGCCTACAAGGCCAAAATACAACTTTGTGAAGTTTTTATTGTTTTTTATTATATAGGTGGAAAAAACAACTATAACCTCAACAAAATTGCTTTAAATCAAATCAATCAAAAAGTACCATTATTGTTTCATATAAGTAATTATATAAGATAACACATTTTGAAATATTTGAATGCTAATGCCTAATCTAATTTTAAATTTTAATGTTATTTTCTTAATCAAATTATAAGTACGAATCTTCATAATACCATGTAAAGATATAAATTACTTCGTATTATATCTATCTATACGATTATACTAAAATTATTCACATGACCCACCATATGTTATGTAATTAACTCAAATAAGCCTAACGCAAAGAAAACATATCCTAATTTTAATCTCTAAGCCGGTAAGTGGTTACTGGTTAGGTAGTTACACTCCGAGAAGACGACCAGCACAAGCTCGGTCAAGCTCTCTATTTCGGTATTTCCAACTTAACCAAAACCTCTCTTTTCCAGATCTCTGCGCATGTAATCAAAACTTAAAACCCTAACTATGGCGAAACTCCTCTGCATCTTCACCATTTTCTCTCTCCTCATCTCACTCTCAACCGCCTTCGATCCAGTCAAGCCGACCGATCGAAAGATCCTCGTCATTCTAGAAGACGCGTCTTACAAATCTTCTCACTCAATTTACTTCAATTCTCTGCAATCTCGTGGTTACAACCTAGATTTCAAGCTTTCAGATGATCGCAAAATCGCTCTTCAACGTTATGGTCATTACTTGTACGACGGCCTCATTCTCTTCTCTCCTTCTGCTGATAGTAAGTTTAGCTTTTCTGTAATTTTCTCAATTTTGTTTTATTCAATTGTTTTCCGCGGCAATTTCTATTGTAAAACCTGTTGTATCATGTGCATTGTACAATCGGTTGTACCGGTTTTGAGATATGGAAGATTGATTTCTGTTTGTTATTTGTTGTGGAAGGTATTGGAGATGGATCGTTGAAGTTAAATGATGTGTTGGACTTTGTTGATTCTGGACACGATTTGATTGTTGCTGCTGATGCCAATGCATCTGATTTTATCCGTAATGTTGCCTCAGAGTGTGGTATTGATTTTGAGGATGTAAGTGTTTCTGCAGCTTAGGATAACTCGATTTTTGTTCATTTTTCGAATTTATGCATAACAGTTGGATAACTCGAGTAATTGTTTGTGGTGCATTGTGCATACTTTAAGGACATTGGTTCTGTATCAAATTTTGTCGAAACGAGGATTATTTTTTGGTAAATTTATCATTCACTAGACTAAATTTCTGTTCGATTTGGTAATTAAGCATTGGATATAGTGAGAAATGGTTTGAGATTAGAGAAACATAGAATTTTGGTATATGTTGTCTTTGCAACTCCTCTACAGTTTGAGTTTGATTAGATGGATTGATTAGCTTGGATTTCATGATTGGCTATCAATAGTGGAGTAAACCGATCATTATGTTCGTTTTTTCTTCATTTTTTTGATATTATTGGGATAGGATACAGCAGCTGTAGTTGTAGATCACACCAGCTATTCAGTATCTGAGATTGAAGGTGATCATACACTAATTGCTAGTGATGATATCATCAAATCCGATGTGATTCTTTGGAGAGAGAAGATTGAGGTCAGTTTCCGAGTCAATTTTTTTTTCTTTGATAAACATCTGTACTGTCCATTGGTTATTCCATTATTGACTGCAATAGCATACATATCTAAATTTTATCGGGCGTTATTTATTAGGCTCCTGTGCTATTTAGGGGGATTGCACACTCAGTAAATGCTGCTAGTAGTCTGGTAAGTGATGTTATCTGTTGTGGTTCATTGTTGAAGTTTAAGAGCTAAGTTGTGATGTTTCATCATGTTTCTGACAAGTTTAACTCTTAAATCAGGCATTGAAGGTTCTCTCAGCTTCTCCGGCAGCATATTCTGCTAATCCAAACAACAAGCTTTCAAAACCTCCAGCTTTGACTGGCACTTCCATCTCCCTGGTTTCAGTTGTCCAGGTTCAAAATATTGTCTCACTTACATTTTCTCTCTCCATGTTTGCATCGTATCTGAAAATAATATGCTAGGAGTAAATATGCTTTTATGACCTCTTTAGAACTTATTTTATTGGTTGGGTTGATGTGAGTTTTCTCTGATAAATCATATTTCGTACTACTAGCCTGAGCCTTTTTTATTATATAATGATAATGGAACTCGACTTTGAGCCCTTGAATCTGGGTTATGGACCAGAAAGTACTGAAGTAGAAGGGTCATGAATCATGGTCATGATTATGCTTTTTTGATTATGGCATGCAATGGTTTTTAATTCTTAAAAACTGTATTAGTCAATATCTGCAGCTCTGCTTCTTAACAATGTAACTTCGCCTTTGGTGACGCTTCTTTTATGATGCTCTTGTTAAGGTTAAACCGTTCACTAGTTAAGCATGTGTACATTTGGTGGCCAATAATATATACTCCGTAATATTCTAGTTATCTTTCAATTATCTACACGGATGGCTCAATTATATGTTCTGGTATTTGCTTTCAACTTAATAATCTAGGCTATCAATTTGACCAATAATTATGCTTGCTATCTTTCAATTATCTACAGGGCTGACTCTATTATCATGGAGGTCTTGTGCAATTTAAATAATATACCCTCAACCTCCAATGTTATGTATAATAAAAATGAAGATACGGTATAAAATGTAAAAGTTTCATCAAATTACTTGTTAGCAATATGAAGGAACTATACAATTATGCTTACATGTAAAATTAACTAAACCATACACTCAAAAAACCATATTATTTGCGATTGGAAGTAAAAAATACCGTTCATAAATATTACCCTATCAGATGCAAATGTTCTGATAAGCTTTTAGCAAAAAAAAAAAAAAAAAAAAAAAAAAGAAAAAAGGTATTAACTGATAAAGAATGGTGTAGATAATCATTCAGTATTGCATTATCAACATGAGCCAAAAGCAAAATCTAGTAGCCAAAAAGACAAAAATAGTACTCCAAACATTAATCGGTTTTATAAAGGCAGTTGAAAAATGGGGTTTGGGAGAATCGAGCCAGCGATTTTCATCGATGAAGAGGTTGTACCTTACCACTTTACCACAACTAACTGAATTTTAGCTTGACAAAGTGTATATATCCTATCTATATGTAGGCCCTAACTAACTTATGGACCCTGTGAGTTTCCACAGCCTTTTAACCGACCCTAGATATCTATATGTTATGCATGTCAGTTTATAGCTAGTGATTTCATGTGAGTGAGCCTCGTTTTGTTTTGTGCATAACGTGTCTAGTGAATTCAGTTGCTTTTACTGTAATTCATTTCCTGACATGTGCCTCAGTAATATATGTTACAATCCTTGACATTTACACGTCTTGTTGATGCAAACTTGCAGGCTAGAAACAATGCTCGAGTTCTGATTTCTGGCTCTTTGGATATGTTTAGTGACCGGTATGTGGTTTATGCATTAAGAATCTTCTATATACATAATCCCTTGTGTGTGTGTTTTATTATTATTATATTGTTTTTATTTTTGGGCGATACAGGTTTCTAAGGTCAAGTGTCCAAAAAGCTGGGACCTCATTTAAGTAAGTCCTGCTCAATTAACTTATTGCTTGGTGCCTGTTGAGTCCATATTTTTCTTTTAAGCCACCATATTTGTTGAGGTGTTAGTGATTAAATATGAAATTGAAAGAATGTCCAATATATATTAGCCGATTATCTTGCTATGTTCTTTTTCCTTTACTGACAGTCCCTTATGACGATTCATGTTAGCCGACCCCAAATTATTTTGGGACTAAGGCTTTGTTGTTGTCCAATATATATTAGCCCCTGCTAGTAATTGTTGAAGGGTCACTGGGATATGTGTAGTGGGCACTAATGGGGCAGTGGTTGTAGCATTGATGATATAAGCAGCAAAAAAGAAGAGGAAAATGTTCAATTTTTTATATTGAGGAATCTTGGAGTAAAGTGCTTGTGTATGTGCATGAGATCAAGAAATACTCGTACATCAGTGTTGGTAACTTGCTATTGGCTTCTTTCTGCAATATTTTCCTCTCTTTTCTTCTGGTGATGAGGATTTTTTGAGTTTAGCTGTCACAAGTTGAATGTGTCAGTTAGAGATGTCAGTTCTCTTTCTTTGTAAAATATGCAATGGAATGAGCGACCTTATCAGAAAGAGGAAATGGAAATGCAAGTTTGGCGCTCTCCTGTTCTTATTTTTTGTTTTATGAAGGTCTTGTCATACCATTTTGGTATTTTAGGATAAAAAAATTTGCCGTAATAGACTAATAGGTACTACTTGCATGCTACATTATTTTCATTTGGTATGCATCACGGGGGTCGAAATTTACCGGCACCTTTTTTTTTTTCCTACTCCAGTGGTTCTGTAATCTGTACACTGGATGGAAAATATCCCCTGCCTGTGGTTGCAATGATCCTCACAATCATCATGATAGTTGCCTTTCAAGATGTGGCTAGAATTAGAGCATGTTAGGTTCGACTTGAACCTTTATTTACATGGTCTTGGTCGTGTAAAAGTAAAAATGCATCCTGTTTCTAGCTTGTAATCTAGATACAATCTAAATACATTATATGTGTCAAGGAGGTGTAAGATTTGGTATTTATGCTACAGGTATGAAAAATCTGGTAATGAGCAGTTTTTAACAGAGTTAAGCAAATGGATATTCCATGAGAGGGGTCATCTAAAGGTAGGCCACCTGCATTTACTCTCTCACGACTCATGAAGTGATTATTTGCTTATATGGTATTGCCTTTTTTACTTTGATAATATTGGCTCTTAATTTAGGCTGTCAATGTTAAACATCATAAACTTGGGGAAACAAATGAACCTTCCATCTATCGCATCAAGGATGACCTGGTAATGCTTAATTTTTTAGTTATAACACCTGAACTGGTTGGGAGGGAACCAAGGGGCTCTCATAATGTTGACTTTATTTCAGGAATACTCTGTTGAGATATACGAGTGGTCTGGAACTAGCTGGGAGCCCTATGTGGCTGATGATGTGCAATTGCAGTTCTACCTGATGAGCCCCTATGTGTTAAAGACCCTATCAAAAGATAAGACGGTAATCTCATGGATTATCCGTAGCTTTGTTGGAATTTAAATTGGCTTTATTTGGTTGGTTTTATCGTATGTTCAATTGTTGGTATTTTTGGTCAGCAGGGTTTATATCACACATCATTCAAAGTTCCAGATGTTTATGGGGTTTTCCAGTTCAAGATTGAGTATCAGAGACTTGGTTATACAAGCTTGTCTCTTGCGAAACAGGTGATCATCTTTTAGTGACCCATATTAGTTTTATATTTAATATGCCCTTTCTTATAATGGGAAGGAGAATTATCTAAGCAGCTTTTACTAGTTAGAGTGGCTTTAATTTTTCATTGTTATGATAGTGGCTTGGACTAATGCCTTGTGATGTGTATGTTTATGGAAATTTTAGCATCAGATGATTCCATTGGCTGTATGGCATTTTTATATTATTTTAATAATTTTTTAGCCCATTAGCTTTGTAGTGAATTATTAGAGTGATATAACTTAGCTGCAATAAAATTAAGTACTATCTATAAACAGAAAAGAATGTCTTTAATTATATTGTTCTTGTCTGTTCAGTCATCCTCCTGCTGCATTATAGTGTGGTTGTTGTTAGTGCTGCATGCCTGCATTTACTGAAAGCAAATCAAATATTGTTAACTGCAGATTCCAGTACGTCCATACAATCATGACGAATATGAAAGATTTTTACCAGTGGCTTTTCCTTACTATGGGGCTTCATTCTCGACGGTATCCTCAAAATTTCTTACATTTTACATCTATATAAACTAGATGGCAATACTTAGAAGTAAAATTGATTGCCTGTTTCTAATGGTTGCAGATGGCTGCCTTCTTTATCTTCAGTATTCTTTACCTGTACCATAAGTAGAGCCCATCTTCAGGCTGTCACTGAGGGTATGCCCTTATTCGAGATTACAATCTTTGCTGCGAGGATCAATTCATGATTTTGTTACTTTCAATATCTGAAGCTTTGCGACATTCACAGTTACCATGATGTTTTGACAATCTAAGAAGCTGTTGGTGACCTATTTCCAATGTAGGTCCAGAAAGCTATTATAGCTAGCCGAGGTAATTAGTAATAGCTAATCAAAGATAGTTTGAAGATACCTGAAAGAGGCTGATGTAAGAGCATTTGAGTTAATCTCACTTAAATTTATTACAGATGCATTTGTAATTTAAGTGCTCTTGGGGTCCTTGCAGCCTGAATTTGATAGTATGAGGTACGCTCCTGATGAGATGGCATCCCTGCTTTTAGGAGTATCTCTTCTCCAATGGTTTTAAATCCTAATTATCTTACATAGAATTGTGATTTTATATCTCAGTTATAATGAGAAAATTAACATTATTAATTCAAGGAAAAAAAAGGTAAAAGTTAATCTATGAAAAAAAAAAGAAAAGAAAAAAAAGGCTTTTTTTTTTTTTTTTTTCCCTGACTACCACTTTAAAAAAAAACAGAAGAATTTTACCACCCAAATAAAAATAAATTGTATATTCCCACCCACTAAAGAATTTAATTCAACATTTTATCACCTATTGAACAAATTACGTTTGTGAAACTTAATTTAAGGAATTGAAAAGGTGAAGTTTAAGGGCAGAATGTTGGGAGATTTGTGGGGGAATTTTTTTTTTTTTTTTTTTTACCATATATACCTGAGTAATTCGTTTAATCACCATATACCCGTGAAAACTTTCAAATTCACTATATACCTTCAACAAAAATGTCACCAAATGACTGACTGGTGTCAACTTCGTTAGTCATTAAGGGTTAATTGTGCCACATGGCATCATGTGGTTGGTTCTTTTTTATTTTTATTTTTTTTTGAAAAAAAAGTCCTAAAAGACATAATATTTCATCAATTAAAGTCATACGACATCTACAATTGACATTTAACAATAATGAAAACAGATTTAACAAACTCAAACAGGAATTGACTGGGGAAAGACTAAGAATCCTAATTTATAGATATTACAATTCGGCACATTCTCAATTCGTTGTCTCATACGACTTTTTTAGTGGATCCGTCACCGCTTCATAATTTTGTGAATAGTAAATTCTTGTGCTGATTTCGTAACCTGCATCTGAACAATAATCAATCGTAACCCTGCACAACTGAAGATTAAATTAAGCGCGAATAAAACCTTGTCTTTCGAAAGAGATCAAAAAAACCTTGTCTTTCGAAGGAGATAAACCCTTTCTTTCGAGGGAGACATTATTATAACCTAGAACACAGAAAAACTTAAAAAATAAAATAAAAATTGGGGCTTTCCACCGGTAAAATCCGATGAAAGCCCCTTCAAAATTGACAATGAAGGCTAGAATTTAGGAGAGAGGAGAAAAAGAGGAGGCTAGGTTTTTTTTTTAGTTCTAAACTTGTGAGTTATGTGGTTGCTTCATTTTTAAATTTGTTTAATTAATTTTTAAAAATTAAAAAATTATAAAAAATTATAAAATTAAAAATCTCCCAAACCTAGCCACCATTTCCACCAACCACCCCCGCCCAAATCCAGCCCCCCTCGGTAAGCGGTCGTAGCTCCATCCATGGCGCCGACAACGCCTCTCCCTTCCCCATATCCCCTTCCTTCGAACCTCCCCCGAGCTACCACCCCGAATTTTCTCTCTCCTTTAGCTAGAGCCCAACCCCCTCCCTTCTCCGACGTCGGCACTGACCTAGCCCAGCCCACCCACCTCCCTCGCGGTTGGTGTTGCATGTCGTCCCGCCCAACCATTTTAGGGTTCCGGGTGGTGGTCTAGGGGGAGAAAGTGGGTGGAGATGGCAGGGGAGGGGTAATCGGCTTCGCCAGCGTGGGGGAAAGGGTTAGGGCGCCGCGGGAGGGGAGGGAGGTGTTTTTCGAGTGAGTGAGGGGGTTTTAAGGTGGGGGGAAAGTGGTTCTAGCCTTCTAGGAAGGGGGAGGGGCAGCGATGGCATGGGATAGGGAGAAGGAGGGCACCGTCGACGTCGGGGAAGGGACGTTGGTTGCCGACAAGGGTGGGGGCAGGTGGTTGGGCTGGGGTAGGGGTGTTGGTGGGGTGGCTGGGTTTGGGCGGGGTTGGGTTACCTTTTTTTTTTTTTCTTTTTTATTTTGTTGTTTGATTTATATAAGGAAAATTGGCTTAAAATACTACTACCTCCGTTTTTTTTAATTGACACGTTTTGACTTTAGCACTATTCACACACTCTTCTTTAACCGTGTTTTGTGCTTTATACATAATGAAAAATTAGGTTAAAATCCCGTGCAATGCACGTTTGTTAAATATTATTGACAATAATATTACAAAATATTAAGTATATAAAAGATATTCAGAAATATTTCATTTGGGTATATATGGAATATGATTGCCAAAGTGGAAAGAAAATATCATAAGGTATAAATAATTTACTTAAAAATTTTGCAAAAAAAAATAAAATAGAGAGAAGCGAAAAAGGCGGAATTTTTTTTTTTACAAGGTAATGACAAGTGTCATGGAAGGATTTGCTTTTAATATAGGTTAATAGATATAGTCATGTGGGGTTTTGTTAGATTCGTCACGATATATATTTTCAAAATATCAAATTTTCATAATTTTTGCTTATCGGTAATTAAAGATATGAATGGTTGAAGTTGTGCATTGGCAAACGTGACTAAAGAAACGTGTCAACTAAAAAGAAACGGAGGAAGTATTAACTATTAGGGTGTTTGCAAAATAATTTGATCTCAGTTATTTGCTATTAATAGTACCACCTTTTGTACTATATGTGCATGCACTACTAGAAAATAGGAAAATTCCGACGGACTGGTTCCGTCGAACACGAAATTCCGTCGGAAAAAGTGAAATTTCCGACGGATTTTTGTTCTGTCGGATGTTTCCGACGAATTCAACAATTCCTTCAGAAATCCGTTGGAAATTTCCAACAGAAATGTAATCCGTCGAAATATATGTGCTTTCTAACGGATTTTTCCGTCGTAATTTACATTTTCCGACGGGTTTATAGTCCGTCGGAAATTTTCGACAGACTTTTCCGTCAGAATATAATTTTAAAAAAATAAAATAAAACCCTTTTTACCAAACCCTAAAACGCAGCCCCTTCCCTTTTCTATTTTCGCCTCTCTTTCTCTTTCCTCTTCTCCTTCGCTGCTCTTCTCCCTTTTCTTTCTCTCCTCTTCTCCTTCTCTTTCCTTACCTTAGTCCGCCTCTTTCTTTTCTCCTCTTCTTTCACCACGACCATGACCACCAACACCCAACAACAACAACCAACATCAACATCATTAACGAAAATCGCCATCACCATCACCAACAACCAACAACAACAACGGCGACCACAACACCACTGTCATCACCAACAACCAACAACAACGGCGACCACAACACCACTTCCACTGTGTAAAAACAACACAGGCGACCCCAACAACACCACCACCGTCGCGAGAATCGTCAACCGCACAAGTATTGTAGATCTTGATTAATTTAGGTTCGATTGTAGATCTAGATTTATTTTTTAATAAATTTCTGATTTTGCTTAATTTGTCAAGTAATTGTATATTAGTTTATACATTTTTTTGGATAATTGTATAATTATTTAATTCCTTACAATTTTTGTGGTTATTTTTATTTTTATTTTTACTGAAATTCGGAATATTAGATCTACTTGTTTCGATTTTTTTTGGGTTAATCACTACAAGAAAATTGTCTTTTAGTAGCGATTGAACATTCGAATATGCACATGTGTTTGTAAAATAGTAGAGGAATCCGTATCATTTTGCAATCGATATAGTAAACCCATATGGAATCGATACGAAAAACATAATAATATTTATTCACCTTTTTCTGCACATTTATAAAATTATGTAAAAGCATATCGTTTATAATCACCACTAAAATTGATACAAAAAGCCTTTTTTACACTAGATTATTTTAACATTTTGTTTGACAAAGAGAACATACAATATATCATAGCATATTGGATAAACAGTTCATATTATAGCTTGAGGTTGCATGTTCGAATCTTGTATAAATCATATGTAGCGATTTATTTATTTATTTGTAGAAAATGAGTTCAATAATCACCATGATTGAATGTAGTTTTCCGTATCGATAAATGAGGACAACCCCAGCGAAAGCGGAAAACACTACTAAAGGCTATGGTAACGGCGGATATTGTATCGAATAACCATTTGGTGGGAATTTTTTTTTTTTTTTTTTTTGGTAGCAATTACAATCGATACGAAATGTTAAAATAATCGCTACGAAAAGGTATTTTTCTTGTAGTGAATTCGTTATTTTGGTGGTGGACGGTGGTCGGTGGTCGTAGTGTGGGGTTTAGGCTGGTGGTGGTCATGGTGTGGGGTTGGGGCTGGTGGAGTGGTGGGGGCTTTTGGAGGTTAAACGCTGTGTGAGGTAAGGCCGTGGGGTGGGGGCTTTTTTATTTTATTTTCTAGGTAGGATTTTTCGACGGAATTTCCGTCGGAATTTTCCGGGCCAGAAATTTTTTTGCGATGCCTGAATTCCGTCGGAAAAGGTCGATTTTCCTACGACGAAAATTTCCGACGGAATTCCATTGGAAACACGATTTTCAACGGAAAACAGGATCTTTTCGACGGAATTTTTCCGTCGAAAATTGCCTGTTTTCAAGTAGTGATAATGGTACGTTGGTCACAAAAGAAGGTACCTTGAGGAATATTCCGTCCATATTTATTGCTTTACTATTTTTATTATTATTTTTTATACTACGTACAAAATGTTACTTTTTTTATTGATTTATTTATTTATATATTTATTTTCAAAATACATGTTGATAATTCTCTTACTACCCAAATTTTTAATGCTCCAACCCTTTGTTAGGCTAGTTAATTTTGGTTTTTAGACCATTTTTTAAAATTAATTATATAAATATAATAATGCATTCTAATATCCTATTTACTTTTGTGTGTAATAGAATTTTTTTTCTATCCATAACTTAACTAGCTATCCTAACAAATTAAAGGGGTGGGGCATTATTAATGTGGGTAGTAAGGAAATTATTATTATTATTATTATTATTATTATTATTATTATTATTTTTTGAAAGTAAGTAAGGAAATTATTATTAACATAGTATGTATTACTTTTTTTTTTTTTTTTTTTTTTTTCTTTTGAGGAAAAAAAAAGTACAGAGTAATGTTTAATAAATAAAATATAATAATGCAAATTCATTCCAAAAAAATTCCCAATATAATTTTTATATTATATAAAATAATATAATGATGAATATGAACGAAATAATTCTCAAGATACTGTCTCCGATAGCCTACGTACCATTTTGCATATATAGAACAAAAGG